TAAAATACCAGCTGACAATTAAAATGACATTGAGTAAAAGTAACACAGACGATAGCACCGAATATACCGAACCATATTTCCAAAGCAATCAAGAAGTTATAACCGAATCCGATACTATAAACGCATCATTAGATACATCAATTCAGAGGATACAGGAAACTTAAGAACGCTGGACTAATAGAGGTTCGGGTTGGGGTGTGGATAAAATCGATAGTTTATATTTAGATATAGCGAATTATATGCCCTTCAAAGGTGGATCTTATATAGATTTACCCACGTATTATAAGAAGAAAAAAGCCATAATTAACGTAAAAAATAAATCCGATGACTGTTTAAGAATGATGATAAGATCTGCATTGTTCCCCGTAGACAAGCATCCGGATAGACCTTCTAGCTATCCCCAAAACGATGGACTCAACTTCGATGGTATAGACGAACCTACACCAATATCACAAATTGATAAGGTGGAAAAGCAAAATAATTTAGCTATAAATGTTTTCGGACATTCTAAAGGAATTGTTGTACACAGGATAAGCTCCGCTCCGGAACATATTCCCAGAATCAATTCATTTCTGATCGAAAAAGATGGTAAATATCATTATACGTGGATAAAGAGTTTAAACAGGCTACTATGCGATCAAACAAAACATAAAGAAAAGAAATATTTCTTCAAAAGATGCCTACATGGGTACAGCAGACAAGATCTATTAGAAGCGCATAAAGAAGACTGTAGAGGTGTTGGACAGAATGCTATCAGGATCGATATGCCTAAAGAGGGAAAAAATATATTAAAATTTGAATATTATTGTAATCAAATGCCAGTACCGTACGTAATTTACGCCGACTTCGAAGCGCTTATCAAACCCATAGATAATACCAACCATAATAATCAAGATAGTAGTTTTACCTACAAAACTCAAGAACATATTCCTTGTGGGTTTGGATATATAGTTGTAAGGTATGATGGGAAAACAAACCCGCCCGTGATTTACAGAGGTCCCGATGCAGCGGGAAAGTTCCTAGAATATCTACAAAATGAAGAGAGAATAATCAGGGAAAATTTATCGTGTAAGATACCCATGCGTTTGACGAGGGATGATTGGAGGGCTCATAAGAAGTCAACGATTTGTCACGTTTGTAATAAACCCCTGGATGGGGATTCCGTAAGAGATCATTGTCACGTCACGGGTAATTATCGGGGGGCCGCTCATAACGAGTGTAACTTGAAACTAAAAATGAATTCTCAAACAATACCCATCCCCGTTGTGTTTCATAACCTTAGGGGATACGATTCACATCTCATTATGCAAGCTATCTCAAAGACCGACGGCGGTTTAACGAGCATTCCTAACAGTATGGAAAAATACATATCGTTCTCGTTGACTAAACCTATACATTATAGGGACAAGGATGGGAAATCTAGAACAAAGCAAAGTAATGGGCTTAGATTCATAGACTCCGTACAGACTCAGTTGTTTATTGAGAAAGGATTAAGAGGTGGTATATCGATGGCAGCGAAAAGGTATTCTAAGGCTAATAATAAATTAGTGGAAGGATACGATCAGAGTAAACCCGACACTCATATATTATATCTCGACGCTAACAATTTGTATGGATGGGCTATGAGTCAACCTTTACCCACGGGTGGTTTTGAGTGGGTCGATGATATCGATGTGAATGATATCCATAATATCCATAATAATGATGCGAATAAAGGGTACATACTAGAAGTTGACTTGGAATATCCAAGTTCGTTACATAAAGATATCATAACAGTTATCTGCTAGCTCCCGAAAGATTAATGGTTAATAAAGATTGGATGTCGGAATATCAACGCTCCTTGATGGGTAATAGTAGGTTAGCTAACGTAGAAAAACTCGTACCAAATTTGATGGATAAGAAAAAATATATAGTTCACTACAGAAATCTCCAGTTGTATCTATCGTTAGGTATGAAACTTAAGTAAATACACAGAGTTCTAAAGTTTGATCAAAGCCCTTGGATGGAGCCCTATATAAGGTTGAACACAGATTTAAGAAAGATAGCTACCAGCGATTTCGAAAAGAATCTGTATAAGCTCATGAATAACTCAGTATTTGGTAAAACTATGGAGAATCTAAGGAAGCGTGTTGATGTTAAATTAGTCAGATCTAATGAGGAAGAAAGACTCAGGAAACTTATAGCCAGTCCGGCTTTTAACAGAAGCAAGATATTCGATAACGACTTAGCCGCGTTGCATATGCAGAAGAGTAATATAAAATTCAACAGACCGGTGTACGTCGGTATGAGTATTCTCGACTTGTCAAAACACTTAATGTATGACTTTTATTACAACGAACTTAAGAAGCAATACGGCGATAGATGTGAGGTGTTATATACCGACACAGATTCTTTGTTGATGGAAATACAAACCGAGGATGTGTATAAAGATATGGCAGAAAAAATAGATATGTACGACACGAGCGATTACCCAAAAGATAATCCACTGCACAGCGTTGTAAATAAAAAGGTGTTAAGTAAGATGAAGGATGAATGTGCTGGGACCCCTATAGCGGAGTATGTGGGATTAAGACCTAAGATGTATTCTATAAAGAAGTCCGATAATGGTGACATAAGAAAAGCTAAGGGTGTTAAGAAGTATGTTGTAAAAAAGCATATCAAACACGAACAGTATAAAGAATCATTATTCAACGGTAGAACGTTCAAACACGAGATGAACTCTTTAAGAAGTTACAATCATAGGATATATGGATTAAGAATGAACAAGACATCATTATCCCCCTTAGATACAAAGAGATGGATTGATAATGATGGTGTAACTACCTATGCTTATGGTTATGATGGTAATACCGTACCGTCGGGAACTATGAACAACTCTTCTCGTACAAATGCCCTACCCAGTCCATCTTGAAGATAATAAAGAATAGGCTCTCCTTCTTTCGTAACCAATCGACTAATGTTATACGTCTTAAGGGACCATATGGGATCGGTTGCGCGACGTAGGCCTCCTTCGAGTTCACCGGCCTGGTATAAATATCTTACCCTTACTCTATCCGGAAGTTTTCGTTCTTTGCCTCTCCTCGGTGCTGAAGATTCGGAAGTCACGGATTTCATTTCAATAGCATCGGATGGTTTCTTCCCTATTAATCTCGTTACTTCATTATTCAGCGCTGATACAACGGCTGATAATTGTGTCACCCATTCGGTTGATCTCAATCACTCGGATTTCATTTCTATCCCATACTGATAGCCAAACAAACGTTCCGCTAATGTCCGGTTAAATCTTTCGACGATAGCTTGACTACGGTGGGCCTCTCTTTCACCACGGACGATTTCGACATCGTGCTTTGTTAACAGTTTAGTTACCGATCCCATAAACTCGCGACCGGAATCTACTTGAAATAGTTTAGGCCATTTTAGCGGTCCGCGTTTATATATGCGACTCTGTACCTCTACCTCTGTTGATTCTTTCGATGTTAATGGCTCAGCCTCTTTGTATCGACTAGCCACATCCACTACGGTTAAAGCGTATTTATACGTTTTGCCTTATCGTGGGGAAGAAACAAGAGGTCAGCCTGATGAACTTCATTCGTCGTAAAAATATCAAACTTCTTCCTCGGTATATAATGCGGTGCCGGTAAATATATCTGCCACATCGCTTGTTTCTTTAACCAATCCTTGGCCACATCTTTAGATACCTTAGCCGCGGTGGCTAATTTTTTTATTGCTCCTATACCTTTCCAATATCCTCGTGGGCTATAGTAAATTTTATTCATTATTAATTAATATTGATGTTTCGTTTAATACATCTCATGACTATCGTTAAATCACATAATCATTTTGGCATAAAAAATCCCCCTGTAGTAGCAGTATAGGTAATAAATCTGGCTCCAGTGGAAGTGGTCCAGAACCCCTATTACCTATAAAAATTTGTATCATTGGCCCCAGGTATTGGTGAGCTAGAGCCAATTTAACTTAATCTCATGACTATCATTAAATTGCATAATCATTTTGGCATAAAAAATTCCCTCTGTAGTAGCAGTATAGGTATATGAATCCTGCTCCAGTGGAAGTGGTCCAGAACCCCCATTACCTATACTACTTGCCTAGATCTATATACTGAATTACTGTCATTATTGTTCTCCAACTTCTAAATCTGTTCAACTCTGTGAAACTCAGGGTCGGGTGATTGGTGAAAGAAATAACAACACAACGGCAAGTTAGTCAGTTAACATTTAGCATTGTTGACTTGTCTATCCTCAGGATAATATAGGTGTTACCACAATGTAGATCGTTGTTATCATATATTATTTAGTTATTTTATGTTTACGTCTGTGGGAACAGTTTTAGAAGTGGGTGTATTTAATACTGAGAATGTATTAAATAATATCTTTGACAACATCTTTAATAATCGTGACGATAATCTACATCGTGTCCCAGTCACAACACATAACGCGACATCCTCCCGTCCAGCGAGTGTGCTGAAACTGTGGCCAGTGACTGAAGCGGACGTAGAAGTTACCTGTTCACACTGTGTCTGTTGAACAATCAAGTGTAAAAATATCGTCAAACAGGTTTTTCCATCTTATTGTTTACAAAATTGTACAAGAAGAGTTTAGAATTGCCATGATGATAGTTTTATCGTGAAATAATGTGAAAACACTTGTGTATTTAGGCTGTTGTCATCTATTTCTGATTGCTGAAACAAACCAGCTCAACTACAACTTTGTGAAAAAGTATTTAAAACAGCATTCATTTGTTTATAAATGCACACAAAAATGTATGAAAAACATTTTGAATACCTCCTCAAATAATTTCACAGCGTTATTGTTACTATTTATGGCATTGTAATGTTGAAATTCACAGACAGACGAACATGGCAGCCGATCGTTCAGTGTGGTGTTTTGTAAACATTGAAACGAGGTTCACAATAAAATGACCAATTTGTTATCTGAAGTCAGGAAATTTGGTAAACTGTAAAAAAAAATGTATATTTCCAGGTCCTAAACTACAACTGGACGCTGCTCGAGCCAACACAGACTACTGCCACGTAACTACAGACGGTGAGCTGGTCACCTCGCGGCGCACCACACGACACAGAGACAGCGGCAGGTTACAGAGATACTTCGGCACCTGTAGTTCCACCCCCATCCCCCTTACTCCACCCCCCTCTAATGTCACCCCTGCCCCGCACACACCACGATACTGGGAGACCCACTCCAGGGTGGGTGTGGAGGGTGGTGAGTGCTGGCCTGTCCTGGAGATGGGTGTGGGGGAGGAGAGCCAGGTGGACAGTGAGTGGTATGTTTATGAACAGCGCCGCTCCTGGTGTGTCGTTGTAGGGAGCTGTAACACACACCGGGGGAGTATCTGTACCAGGGTGTGTCAGCCGGGGGAGTGGGGGAAGTGTTACAGTGACACAATGTCTTCCAGACCCGGCACACAGGCCACCCTCCACTATGGCGTTGTGCTGGATGTGGGGAGGGGGAGACTCGCCTTCATCGATCTCCACAGGAAGATTGTTTTGGCCAAGGTGGATGTTGAGTGGAGGGAGTCTCTTCTCCCCATGTTTACTGTTGGGCTGCCAGATGACTTCACAGTCAACATGAAGGTGGTCAGCGGGGTGGACATCACCATGACTGACTCCAAGAAGTCACTTATTTATAACGCCCTCACATAGGAAATAAAATAAACATGAAATTGTGTAAACTTGTAAGTGTGACATATTTATTTAAACTGTCAAAAGTAATGTGATTGTATTGACTGAGGCGGACATAGAAGTTACCTGTCTATGTGTTGTTTGTTATGTACAAGAATGTAACAAGGTTAACTAAAAATGTTGTTTTCTACTCTGTAATATAATTGTTTTAAATCCCCACATGAATAGTGTTGTGCTGAAAGTATTGCAGTTGTGCCGCCACATTGTCACATTTGATGTCAGTGAAGAAATGGGATGAAAGTGATTGAAGCGGACATAGAATGTACCAGGGTACATGTGACGTGTGTACAGAAATGTTACAAAGTTCACTGAACATTTTGTTTCTCTATTCTCATGTGTCATGCTGTGTGTGAAAAACACTTAGAATACCCACAGTAGTGTTTGTTTAATTATCTGCTCTGATTATGTCAAGAGGTGACGGACACTTACGAAGGTTACGGGTAGGCATGGTGTCTCGTGACACTTACGAATGATCCCTATGCCATTTGGCACACTCGTCCCATTCCGTAATCTACAAGATACCGAGTGGTGTGGAATGAGCCGATATGCCGTCGAACTGATAACGGCTCCAGGCGTCAGACGTCAGACGTCGAACTCGCGAGTAGGCATGAATGACATGGTATTTAATAATTCGATTTTGTGACAGAAAAGTGTGGTAGGGAACACTGTAAGGATGATATGTTATTTCCGACACTGCTGATATACTCTCAAAGATGAGCACGATAATAATTAACTGTCTTCTTTAACAGATTCGGATTTGACCCCTAGATGCCGAGGTGTACTGTGGCTCTGATTCACCCGATTGTGTCAGTGTACCGTGGCCCTGATTCACCTGATTGTGTCAGTGTACTGTGGCTCTGATTCACCTGATTGTGTCAGTGTACTTAGGCTCTAATTCACCTGATTGTGTCAGTGTACCGTCGTCCTGATTCAACTGATTGTGTCAGCGTACCGTGGCCTTGAGTCGCCTGATTGTGTCAGTGTACAGTGGCTCTGATTCACCTGATTGTGTCAGTGTACAGTGGCTCTGATTCACCCGATTGTGTCAGTGTACCATGGCCCTGATTCACCTGATTGTGTCAGCGTACTGTGTCCCCGAGTCACCTGATTGTGTCAGTGTAGTTTGACCCTGGTTCACCCGATTGTGTCAGTGTAGTGTGGCCCCGAGTCACCTGAATGTGTCAGTGTAATGTAGCCATGATTCACCTGATTGTGTCAGTGTACTGTGACCCTGATTCACCTGTTTGTGTCAGTGAACTGTTACCCTGGGTCACCTGATTGTGCCAGTGTAATGTGATCCTGATTCACCTGATTGTGCCAGTGTACTCTAGCCCTGATTCACCTTATTGTGTCAGTGCACTGTGGCCCTGATTGACCTGATTGTCTCATTGTAATGTGGCCCTGGGTCACCTGATTGTGTCAGTGTAATATGGCCCTGGGTCACCTGATTGTGTCGGTGTACTGTAGTCCTGATTCACCTGCTTGTGTCAGACATTGTACCCATGTTGGGAATCGAACCCGGGCTTTCTGTGTGATGAGCGATTGCTTGACCTGATTGCTTGACAAAACCAAATATGATAATCAAGACACAAATGACGACCAGTGGCCCCTGGGACACAGGGCCTCGCAAGTATACCTCCAACACTGACGAGGTCAGTCGCGTGATATCCTGGAATATGCAGATTTCATAGAGTCTTTGTTCAGCATAAATGAGATATATTCCTCGTTCTTCCCCAGATTCTCTGATCCTAACGTTTTGTAGAAGTTAATGGCGGATGTATTCCAGCCGGTCACACACCACTGCATCTGTGCACTGCGCTTGTCCAAGGCGACCTGCAAGGTGCACACGGTATAGGGAAACATGACAAGCGCTGTGACCCGTTCGAGTGTTACATATTTTTACAAAGAATCAGGAACGTTACACGTCCATGTAGAGTAGACAGTAGACAGTAGACTACAGGTTCGCTTAACTCACTGAACATGCTGTATATGACGTTATATTGTGCACTACTGCAATTATACTCCTGAAAGATCGTTATGCGTTCCTTCAAAATTAACACTTTAACAACAACCAATAGGAACTATAAAATCGTATTACTACAAATGTCTTGGACAAACAATTATTTGAGAGCAAGTAACTTTGTCTATTTGTTGTTTAACGCCAGTGACACCCAGCAATAGTTAAGCAATGTGGTGGTGGCTTGTAAATATTCCGGGGACTGGACCAGATAAACCAATGATTGGTATTATGAGCAAAGTCCCACGTAGTCAGATACGATGCCAAGGAATAAACCAGGTATCGAGCCTGACCAACGGATCTATTTCGTCACCTCATAAGACAAGCCTGGCTGATGGGGACGTATTCTACTGGAGAAGGAAAGCAAACGGGTGAGGAATGAGGTTGTGTCCGCACCTTCATTGCACAGGCCCACAGTGCTGACCCAACGCCCTTCCTCCTGTAGTCTTCATCAACATAGAGATCCTCCACGTACAACACACGCCCAGACAGTGAGAAGAAACACCACACATACAACAGGTAGCCTACAAGCAGGGGTCTGTCTGAAACAGCAGGGTCAATTATCAAAATACGCAAATAAAGGAAACATGTTTGAACATGCAACATAATTCCAAATAATAATTTATATATGAGCAAATTGCAGAGTTAATTTTAGTCAAGGTGGTGAAATTGTAAAACGCAAATAAAGGACGTTGTAAAACTGATGGGAGTGTGTGATGCAGTCTGACAGAGATCATTAGCCGAGTTGATATACTTTGGTTCCGACAGCGTTCTGAACAATCTGCTATCTGATATTGTGCACACCACACCAACTGGAGATACCACATCAGGTCATGTCTTGTAATCACTGACCTGTTCCTTTGTGGTCCCTCGCTTCAGCAACAAAACAGTGGAACACTTTATCCTCACCAAAGCCGTTCCTTTTCAAAGCTGTAATAGAAAGGTTCATCTTTTCGCACACTTGATCACCACAAAAGCAGACATATGATCATTGATAGACACTATCTGGATGCTAGACAGGATGTTCAAAGTCCATGTGCATGCGGGTTCAGTGAGTCTAATAAAAGCTGTAGGATATAACCAAGACTTGAAAACACAGTAAATATATTCATACAATATACATGTATATGTATCCAGTCTCCATTCTCAGATATAGGTATATGTAAACCATATGCATTTAATTAACCGTACCATCAACATGTGAGAATGGAGATATCGCCACAAAGTAGTTAACAGTTACTGTTGTGCTGGATAAACCACGCTGTGGTATCGAGTACATACAGGTGGAGTACATGCAGTTCGACTGGACAAGGATTCGTCTGAATAACAAGGTGATTTTGTTGCAACGTTTTGTCCACACCTTTAAGTGTCTGAATGAAAAGTAGAATATGTACAGATATGATGCATTAATACCCGTTTATACATATCTTATACCCTGTTCACATGGAAAGACATACACAGGAGTATATTTGAATGTGGAGTAAATCTATTTATGTATGTAAAAGTATAGATATTTTGCGTTCACATGTTTTATTAGTGTCGTGTGCAACTCCACGTTTTGCTCCCCTTAAAACAAGAGAATCGACCATTTCTTCTTGGTCTGTCGTAATGGCACGACTGGCAGTATCAAGGCCCAGAAGACGTTTCTCCTATTTCCTATGTGCTGGTTTAAGTTCAGGACTAACACAGGAACGGGGCGTTTGAACAAGGTCTAGATCACGACAGAGGGGGAATGAAATTGTGAAAGAAACTTTCACCGATAGTCAGTGTGATGAATATTAGAATGACAAGGGAAACATTTAATTCATGTGTCAATAACTCACTACGGCTGTACCAGCATAGTCAACTGTCATCCGAAAACCACTTGCGCTGGACCACAGGTTGCCATAGCAATCTATTGGTTGGCATAGTGTGCTGAGTGCCCAACTGTGGGGAACCTATTTGGAGTAGGGAAGTCAACGGTGTGGAAATGTGTACGAGCAATGTGTGCACTGCACTTGCGGATAAAATGGGTCCCCCTCACATTAAGTTCCCCGAAGATGCTGACCTAAAGGCGTTGATTAAAGGTATCGGAAATACCTGGGTGTAACTGTGAAGGGGCTTTAGATGGGACACATATCCCAATCATTGGGCCATTTAGACATGGTGCAATACACAGCTATATTTGGATCAGATGCCGTCATTTTACACGCTGAGTAAATAGCGTGGCCGTTCACATGGCCAAATTTGTACACCATGTAAAGTTACTTATATGTAAATGCACTTTTGCATGACCTGTTTTGTTCGTATAAATATACTCCTTGAGCAACCTAACATGACTAATTTGTTTACTGTAAGCTTGTTTAAATACTCAGATACGTAGCAGTGTTTATTAAATGTCGTGCAGTGGTCTTATAAACAGAGACATTGAGTAATTTGTATTAAGAAATAGTACATGAAGCTTCTCTTTCCATTAAAGGTCGATGACAGCAGTTTACACACCCTTCCAGGTGTGTCTTACTAAACACTGTGGTCCAGCTGCGGCTTACTAAACACTGTGGTCCAGTTTTATATCACTAAACACTGTGGTCCAGCTGTGTCTTACTAAACACTGTGGTTCAGCTGTGTCTTACTAAACACTGTGGTCCAGTTTTATATCACCAAACACTGTGGTCCAGCTGTGTCTTACTAAACACTGTTGTCCAGCTGTGTCTTACTAAACACTGTTGTCCAGCTGTGTCTTACTAAACACTGTGGTCCAGCTGTATCTTACTAAACACTGTGGTCCAGCTGTGTCTTACTAAACACTGTGGTCCAGTTTTATATCACCAAACACTGTGGTCCAGCTGTGTCTTACTAAACACTGTGGTCCAGCTGTGTCTTACTAAACACTGTGGTCCAGCTGTATCTTACTAAACACTGTGGTCCAGCTGTGTCTTACTAAACACTGTGGTCCAGTTGTGTCTTACTAAACACTGTGGTCCAGCTGTATCTTACTAAACACTGTGATCCAGCTGTGTCTTTCTAAACACTGTGATCCAGCTTTGTCTTACTAAACACTGTGGTCAGACTGTGTCTTACTAAACACTGTGGTCCAGCTGTGTCTTACTAAACACTGTGGTCTAGCTTTGTCTTACTAAACACTGTGGTCCAGCTGTGTCTTACTAAACACTATGGTCCAGCCGTGTCTTACTAAACACTGTAGACGCACAGGGAGACGCATTACATGTAGCCACAAAACATGTAGACACATAACATGTAGGCGCATAGCATGTAGCCACATAACATGTAGCCACAAAACATGTAGACACATAACATGTAGGCGCATAACATGTAGCCACATAACATGTAGCCACATAACATGTAGATGCAAAACATGTAGACACATAACATGTAGACGCATAACATGTAGCCACATAACATGTAGCCACATAACATGTAGACGCATAACATGTAGACACATAACATGTAGGCGCATAACATGTAGGCGCATAACATGTAGCCACATCACATGTAGACACATAACATGTAGACACATAACATAGCCACATAACATGTAGCCACATAACATGTAGCCGCATAACATGTAGACACATAACATGTAGACACATAACAAGTAGCCGCATAACATGTAGACACATAACATGCAGACACATAACATGCAGACACATAACATATAGACGCATAACATGTAGACACATAACATGGCCACATAACATGTAGCTACATAACATGTAGCCGCATAACATGTAGCCGCATACCATGTAGACACATAACATGTAGCCACATAACATGTAGACACATAACATGTAGACGCATAACATTTAGACGCATAACATGTAGCCACATAACATGTAGACACATAACATGTAGACGCATAACATGTAGACGCATAATATGTAGATGCATAACATGTAGACGCAAAACATTTAGCCACATAACATGTAGACACATAACATGTAGACAGATAACATGTAGGCGCATAACATGTAGACACATAACATGTAGACACATAACATGTAGACGCATAACATGTAGACACATAACATGTAGACACATAACATGTAGTCGCAAAACATGTAGCCACATAACATGTAGACACATAACATGTAGCCACATAACATGTAGACGCATAACATGTAGACGCATAACATGTAGACACATAACATGTAGACACATAACATGTAGCCACATAACATGTAGACACATAACATGTAGACACATAACATGTAGGTGCATAACATGTAGACGCAAAACATGTAGCCACGTAACATATAGACGCATAACATGTAGCCACATAACATGTAGCCACATAACATGTAGACACATAACATGTAGACACATAACATGTAGCCACATAACATGTAGACGCATAACATGTAGACACATAACATGTAGACGCATAACATGTAGACACATAACATGTAGGATCATAACATGTAGCCGCATACCATGTAGACACATAACATGTAGGCGCATAACATGAAGACACATACCATGTAGGCGCATAACATGTAGACGCATAACATGCAGACACATAACATGTAGACGCATAACATGTAGCCACAAAACATGTAGACGCATTACATGTAGCCACATAACATGTAGCCACATAACATGTAGACGCATAACATTTAGACGCATAACATGTAGCAACATAACATGTAGACACATGACATGTAGCCACAAAACATGTAGACGCATTACATGTAGCCACATAACATGTAGCCACATAACATGTAGACGCATAACATTTAGACGCATAACATGTAGCCACATAACATGTAGACACATGACATGTCGACGCATAACATGTCGACGCATAACATGTAGACGCATAATATGTAGGTGCATAACATGTAGCCACATAACATGTAGACACATAACATGTAGACAGATAACATGTAGACGCATAACATGTAGACGCATAACATGCATACACATAACATGCAGACACATAACATGTAGACACATAACATGTAGCCACATAACATGTAGACGCAAAGTATGTAGCCACATAACATGTAGACGCATAACATGTAGACACATAACATGTAGCCACATAACATGTAGACGCATAACATGTAGACACATAACATGTAGGCGCATAACATGTAGACACATAACATGTAGACGCATAACATGTAGACACATAACATGTAGCCACATAACATGTAGACACATAACATGTAGACGCATAACATGTAGACGCATAACATGTAGACGCATAATATGTAGCCATATAACATGTAGACGCATAATATGTAGCCATATAACATGTAGCAACATAACATGTAGACGCATAACATGTAACATGTACACGCATAACATGTACACGCATAACATGTACACGCATAACATAGTATGTGTACATATGGAACAGTGCTGTCGTATGTCTGTACTGTGTAGTTTATACACTTTATGCTACACTTAGCAGTCATTTCTCTATGCTGTGTAATGGCGTTCTGTCCATCATTCTGGTACCAAGACCATATCATCAACGCCATACTGATGGACAGACACTGACGTCTGCTAACGTTCTATGGCACATTTCCAAACACGAGTACGCCGTGCAAGGAGACCAAGACTCAATCTGGATTCGACAGAGGACACATGACCATCGGCTATTCCCCTTACTGGCATCAGCCACATTGAGGAGATCGGTCAAAGTGGGGTTACGCGTGGTCATCGAGATCCAGATCCAACACAGATCCAACACAGATCCAGATGAAATGAGATGGTGTTGGCGAGACGGATCCTGATGAAACGACCCTGGAGGACTGCTGCAGCTCTACAGCCCTGGTTCAACGTAGAAATGTGTCTGCTAATCACAGACTGGGAACACATTAAGTGTACAATATGCTGACTTCTACCAATCTGAAGCATACCTAGCATCAGATATTGGACACCAAACGATGATCAGGTGCGTGCTGTAACCGTGCTGTCATCAAGCCTCTTCGGCAAGCTAGATTCACACTGATCTTAATAAAGGTTCCAATACAAGAGCAAAAATCCTAAATGCATATTTTACATGTGCAAAGGACCGTCACAAGATGCACGCGCAGTGAAAGGTGCGTATAGGGGCTTTCCGTTGGCCCCAAGTAACAATACAAAATAGGTCACTTATGTATGCCATTTCTGAAGAAAGTCAGATATAATTTTCGATATCCCCTACTTCTGCTATGTCCCAAGTTACAGTGTATGTGCATATATACATGTAATGCTTTCTCAGCGTTAAAGTCATTGCTTATTTGTGCTTATCAACCATTATATCTTGTGGTAACAGTTTTGATGACATTAGTTTTGTGTGAACATCAACAGCCCAGATACTGGTAAAGACCAAAAAGGATTCCACTTTTGACAATATTGTCTTCAGTGTTTCTTGTGTAATAATTTCTTTATATGACGCAGTTAATCCAGATGTCAACTTACTCTCTGTATCAGTCCGCAAAAGGTGCAGCTTCTTCTCAAACTCCGCCAAGCCCTGTAACGTAACACAACGATACTTCAGTGAGCTTCATACACGATATTGACTTCCATACTCATATATTGAGGGCAAATACAGCAGATGTATACATTACTCTGATATTGAATGTAGCTATGGATCACTTGGGGGACAATTACACAAACCAAGAAGAGGGCATATACCACCCCTACCGGGCCAATCAGTTTAAGATGTCTTTGAGTCACAGGTGGGGCAATGCTACGAGCGGTGAGTAAAACGTTCTGGGCCGAACAATGGATGTACTTAGTTGCTAATTATTTTTCAACCTAATCCCCTCTCGAGGTCCACCCACTTCTTCCAACGATAATGGAGTGCCTGGTTCTCACTGTTGTAGATGACTCCTGGTTGTGTAAAACTTACACCACAGCAGATATGACGTCATCATCCTAAAATTTGCATAATGCTTGCTAGGCGATTCTTTCTTCGAGTTTGGGAAGTGGTGGAAAACTCATGCCCTGCAGGAATGGAGACAACAGACTTGATCACAGGGGCACTGCATGTCTTAGGGCAACACCACATCTTTAGTGAGTTTTTTCAAGACGTTTAGCCAGATGAGCATAATATTGGCCATTAATGGTCCGACCACTTAGGAGGTATTCCACCAGTTGGATTCCTTTGGAATCCCAGAAGACATCACGTTGCTGGCTGTTGGAACAGACGCTAAATGTTTCATTGAATGACAGAGGAGAACCCAAGACTCATTCATGTAAGGTTACAAATCCCTCCACAAAATCAGCTTGGAGTGTTTTGAATCTATGTAAAACCTCACAAGAGTGATGAACCTGGAGTGTTTCTGATCAGGAATCGGAAGCCTTGGAACCCATCTTCCCGAGGCAAGGAAGTTAAGCTATTCTAAAAATCCAGTTTCCACCCTTGTCGAACTAGGCTGGAATGTTTTGGTTACATTTTGGCTGGACTAACAAGTCTATGCATACTCCAATCACAATCGCGTAACGAAATCGACATCCGGTTCGTAAGCTACATGGAGTTTAACGTGCAGATTTCTGTCGACTGACGGATTTGCAAAAGATGAGTACCGTCAACTAGGCGTCGACAGATATTTTCCATATCTTTTCATGTCATTAATGAAGGTGCACACCTGATTTCATGCACTTTGCAAGGTAAGACACATGTTGTTACAAACTAGACCTTGATCATCGATCAGCTCGTCTTGACTGGGCACCACAATGTGAGCGATGGAATATGATTGGTCAATAGGAGGGACATAGAAGGGACATGACTCGTAAGAGCTACTGGTGGCACTACACTCCAGCCCAGAAATTTCAACCTCGTTCGTCAAGGGTGGAAACTGGATTAGTATAGTAGGTTAACTCCCTTGCCTCGGGAAAACGGCCGTTATGTTTGATATGCCTAGTTCATTTATAATGCGACAGATTCCATTCACTGAAATCATGCTCATGGCTTACACGTTGAAGTAAGTTGTGCTTACAGCACGGATAAAGTCAAGGCGAGGGGATCTGTGACCAAAGGTCTTCAAGCAGTTTCTGTCACTTGCAGCAGGTGTTCACTTTCAGAACGGAGAGACCTGGATGGCTAGTATTAAGGAAAAACTTCCATCAGATACCAAGGGGCTGATTCCTCGAAGCATTTAAAGGCTTATGTCAGTAGTTTAAAATCTATTCTCACTTTGAGGGGCAACCAATATAGCGACATCAGAGAAGGAGTAGCAGGAGTCCATTTTGAAGTTCTTGTAACAATACGTGCAGCTGTGTTTTGTATGGCCCTTTCAGTTTAAGATACTTGATGACAGTGTTGTAGCAAATTGTGTTCAGCAACAGAGAATACCTACTATTGATGTCTGCAGAAATGTGCTGCCTGTTGTGTATTTCGCTCTAATACAGCCTGTAAGCATGGAAACTGTTGTACGTAATACATGCTGTTAATGGCGGAGTGTACATCATTCGTAGTTAGTCTCAGAACCTTTCAGGCACCCCTCGATAAGCAATACAGAAGTTCCATTCCATATAGTTTGTTAAATATATATAAGTTATACTTATACACACCTTGTCTGACCTTGTCCACCTCCTCCAGTTCCATCTGATCATGTCCACCTTCACCACTTCCATCTGATCATGTCCACCTTCTCCAGTCCCATCTGATCATGTCCACCTTCTCCAGTCCAATCTGACCATGTCCACCTCCTCCAGTTCCATCTGACCATGTCCACCTTCTCCAGTCCCATCTGACCATGTCCACCTTCTCCAGTCTCATCTGATCATGTCCACCTTCTCCAGTCCCATCCGATCATGTCCACCTTCTCCACTCCCATCTGACCATGTCCACATTCTCCAGTCCCATCTGATCATGTCCACCTTCTCCAGTCCAATCTGATCATGTCCACCTTCTCCAGTCCCATCTCACCATGTCCACCTCCTCCAGTCCCATGTGACCATGTCCACCGTCTCCAGTCCCATCTGATCATGTCCACCTTCTCCAGTCCCATCTGACCATGTCCACCTTCTCCAGTCCCATCTGATCATGTCCACCTTCTCCAGTCCCATCTGATCATGTCCACCATCTCCAGTCCAATCTGACCATTTCCACCTCCTCCAGTCCCATCTGATCATGTCCACCTTCGCCAGTCCCATCTGACCATGTCCACCTTCTCCAGTCCCATCTGATCATGTCCACCTTCTCCAGTCCCATCTGATCATGTCCACCATCTCCAGTCCAATCTGACCATGTCCACCTCCTCCAGTCCCATCTGATCATGTCCACCTTCGCCAGTCCCATCTGATCATGTCCACCTTCGCCAGTCCCATCTGATCATGTCCACCTTCGCCAGTCCAATCTGATCATGTCCAACTTCTCCAGTTCCATCTGACCATGTCCACCTTCTCCAGTTCCATCTGATCATGTCCACCTTCTCCAGTCCCATCTGATCATGTCCACCTCCTCGAGTTCCATCTGATCATGTCCACCTTCTCCACTCCCATCTGATCATGTCCACCTTCGCCAGTCCCATCTGACCATGTCCACCTTCTCCAGTCCCATCTGATCATGTCCAACTTCTCCAGTTCCATCTGATCATGTCCACCTTCGCCAGTCCCATCTGATCATGTCCACCTTCTCCAGTCCCATCTGATCATGTCCTCCAGTCCCATCTGATCATGTCCACCTTCTTCAGTCCCATCTGATCATGTCCACCTTCTCCAGTCCCATCTGATCATGTCCACCTTCTCCAGTCCAAGCTGATCATGTCCAACTTCTCCAGTCCAATCTGACCACCTCTACCTCCTCCAGTTCAATCTGATCATGTCCACCTTATCCAGTCCCATCTAATCATGTCCACCTTCTCCAGTCCCATCTGATCATGTCCACCTTATCCAGTCCAATCTGACCATGTCCACCTTCTCCAGTCCATTCTGACCATGTCCACCTCCTCCAGTTCCATCTGATCATGTCCACCTTCACCAGTCCCATTTGATCATGTCCACCTTCGCCAGTCCAATCTGATCATGTCCACCGCCTCCAGTTCCATCTGATCATGTCCACCTTCACCAGTCCAATCTGATCATGTCCACCTCCTCCAGTTCCATCTGATCATGTCCACCTTCACCAGTTCCATCTGATCATGTCCACCTTCTCCAGTCCCATCTGATCATGTCCACCTTCTCCAGTCCAATCTGACCATGTCCACCTCCTCCAGTTCCATCTGGCCATGCCCACCTTCTCCAGTCCCATCTGATCATGTCCACCTTCTCCAGTCCAATCTGACCATGTCCACCTCCTCCAGTTCCATCTGATCATGTCCACCTTCACCAGTCCAATCTGACCATGTCCACCTCCTCCAGCTCCATCTGATCATGTCCACCTTCTCCAGTCCAATCTGATCATATCCACCTTCTCCACTCCCATCTGACGATGTCCACCTTCTCCAGTCCCATCTGATCATGTCCACCTTCTCCAGTCCCATCTGATCATGTCCACCTTCTCCAGTCCCATCTGACCATGTCCACCTTCTCCAGTCCCATCTGATCATGTCCACCTTCTCCAGTCCCATCTGATCATGTCCAACTTCTCCAGTCCAATCTGACCATGTCCAGTTTCTCCAGTCCCATCTGATCATGTCCACCTTCTCCAGTCCCATCTGACCATGTCGACCTTCTCCAGTCCCATCTGACCATGTCCACCTTCTCCAGTCCCATCTGATCATGTCCACCTTCTCCAGTCCCATCTGACCATGTCCACCTCCTCCAGTCTCATCTGACCATGTCCACCTTCTCCAGTCCAATCTGATCATGTCCACCTTTTCCAGTCCCATCTGACCATGTCCACCTTCTCCAGTCCTATCTGATCATGTCTACCTTCTCCAGTCCCATCTGATCATGTCCACCTTTTCCAGTCCCATCTGATCATGTATACCTTCCCCAGTCCCATCTGACCATGTCCACCTTCTCCAGTCCCATCTGATCATGTCCACCTTCTCCAGTCCTATCTGATCATGTCGACCTTCTCCAGTCCCATCTGATCATGTCCACCTTCTCCAGTCCCATCTGATCATGTCCACCTTCTCCAGTCCCATCTGATCATGTACAACTTCTCCAGTCCCATCTGACCATGTCCACCTCCTCCAGTTCCATCTGACCATGTCCACCTTCTCCAGTCCCATCTGATCATGTCCACCTTCTCCAGTCCTATCTGATCATGTCCACCTTCTCCAGTCCCATCTGATCATGTCCACCTTCTCCAGTCCCATCTGATCATGTCCACCTTCGCCAGTCCCATCTGACCATGTCCAGTTTCTCCAGTCCCATCTGATCATGTCCACCTTCTCCAGTCCCATCTGATCATGTCCAACTTCTCCAGTCCAATCTGACCATGTCCACCTCCTCCAGTTCCATCTGACCATGTCCACCTTCTCCAGTCCAATCTGACCATGTCCACCTTCTCCAGTCCCATCTGACCATGTCCACCTTCTCCAGTCCCATCTGATCATGTCCACCTTCTCCAGTCCCATCTGACCATGTCCACCTTCTCCAGTCCCATCTGATCATGTCCACCTTCTCCAGTCCCATCTGATCATGTCCACCTTCTCCAGTCCAATCTGACCATGTCCACCTCCTCCAGTTCCATCTGATCATGTCCACCTTCACCAGTCCAATCTGACCTTGTCCACCTGCTCCAGTTCCATCTGATCATGTCCAACTTCTCCAGTCCCATCTCACCATGTCCACCTTCTCCAGTCCCATCTGATCATGTCCACCTTCTACAGCCCAATCTGACCATGTCCACCTTTACGGTCTTAAAGTCGCAGTATAAAATCGCCTACCACATAACAACTCTCTCCCCTTATAAATCACAGTATTTCATCGCCCTTCGCCTGCAACTCGATGTCCCGCCATATGTCGCAGCATGTATTATACCACCTTCAACTATTTCCCCTTAATAAGTCGCAGAATGTCTTCATCTCTGACCTACAACTATCTCACCTTAATAAGTCGCAGTATTTCATCGCAATCATCGACGCGAGCAACCCTAACTTTAAACTCGGCCATACTTGAAAATGAGACATTTCGTTATCATTCGTCCTTTTCCATAACTGGCAAACATCGATGTGACGCTTTAGTCACCGATTCGTGTATAATATTGACAGAAATTTCTTTGTGTATCATTACAACGTGAGTGATCTTAAACTCTTTGTACAAACGCCAACATATCGAAATATTCCTTTCTCGGTTCCACTTGCACTGCGCTATCTCAACTCATAACCGATTCCCCATCCAAACAGGGTGCTATCACAACTGGTTGCCATGCTTTGTTTCAAACCGGTACTTGAAATCCGACACTTGGTATTGCTTCCTTAGTTCGTGCTGCTGTTGCTTCGAATGATGATGGCGGTGATGAGATGATGACTGGATAAAAGATGATTGGATGTCCCGCTGTCATCGAGGAGGGGCCGTATCTATATACATACAAACATCAGATCCAGGCAACCGGATTGAAAGACGTGATTAAAGTGGGTCTGCTGGTCAGTTCTGTGACTTCGATGATTGCGTGGTTGTTGCTCAATCACGAAGTCTCATCCAGACTCTGTTATTTTATGAGGACATATCAGAAGGTTTTGAACCTGGCATGTCTAGGTGGTTGTTATTTTTTAGTGAAATATATTATTATTGACTTGTGTTTGTTGACTCATATTTCACAATTTGGCCGGTGACTTTCTGATACAGTGACTCTGAGGTACCCTACACCATTGCATTGAAATGGATAAAACTGTAAAGAGTCAGCCTTCATTTGTGTTGCCCTTTAGGTAGCCCTGCACCATGGCAGTGAAATATATTTTATGAAACCAAAACCATACAAATATCATGATGTTCATATGATCCCCGCTCTTGTCGATCCACCACCAACATCACAAAAGAATGTTTTACCGGCTTCGTTTAATAAATGCAAGTCAGAGGGCTATGAAAATAGCATATGTCAAAGTAACGCAAATTGACTAGGGAAGCTCGTGATGCTTGGAAACACGAATTATACACCTCCTGTGACGGCATCCCATTGCTCTGTAAGGGTTTTCTCCCTTTCAGCAAGTATTTGGACTTAATCAAATTGAATGATGGGGTCGACTTTGAATATTTACTGACGACGAAAAGTAGCTATACTTCATATAAAATGGGTAAGTATTATTATTGAAAAAAAAACATGATTTGGTCATACGTCTGATAAATGTTTTCTAACAAATACATTGACAAACCCATACCTGGTAACAGGATACAGAGAGACACACCGTCAAAGAGAACTGACTAGATAAGTTCAACAGCCGTCATCCTAACTGGGATGTGAGTGGGCGACCGTCATGGAATTTCAGCAGCCTGTCCAAGGTGAAGTGATGCGTTATACTTTATGACGTTGTCGATCCCACAGACAATTCGAGAAAAGGACAAGTCAATTTGACGAGTGGGTTTGTGAATTTGACTCATGTACGATGTAAAAATGTATTTTGAATGTAAACACATAGAAGACATGTTTAGTAAAGTGTTTCAGTCATGAACGGAATACACATTTGGTGTGTTCTATCTAAAGACGTTTAGGGTCTAAACACATGAAATAAGCTCACAGCCTAAACACCACCTAAACACCACTAGGACTTACAACGAACTTGGTGCAATGTTAGCCTTAAAATGTACAAAAAAACACAGCTAATGGTGACCAGGAAATTGACACTTGCGACAACAGGTCTCCGTAGCACAGGTGGGAGCGTGAAGGACTGCACATCAAGAGGTTGCAGGTTCGTATCCCGTGTTCATCCCGTGAATCTTTGTGTTCATAAATGTGTTGTTGCTGTATTTCTCTTATACAGGAAGCTGACAATGAGGGTGTATCTGATGACTACGACAGACACCTTTGCTTTTATACCTCTGGAGTTGTCAGTTTGACTGAGTGAGTGAGTGTGGTTTTACGCCGCTTTTAGCAATATTCCAGCAATGTCACGGCGGGGGACACCAGAAATGGGCTTCACACACTGGACCTTTTTCGGGAATGGAACCCGGTTCTTCGGCGTGACGAGCGAACGCTTTCACCACTAACCTACCCCACCGCCTCCAATTTGACTGAAGGAACGAGACAAGTGGAGTAAAGAGACTAGTCAATTTGGCTTCTGGCTATAAGCAAAGCCAGTCAGGCTGGTTAGAATCATCATCAGCTCAGGGCCCTTGCCCAGATTGGGAGGTACCAATCCTAAGGCACCGAGAACGATGGGGAGTCGAACAACTTGGCACTTGGGATGCAATCGTGACATTTCGAAAGCGAGGCCTGCATATTTGTCAAGCTTTTGCTGAATCTTGTCAATCACATTTGTGTCAAAAGGGACAGAAAATTCAATAATATAAATGATTTCATTGGATTTATCAAAAAGGACAAGATCAGGTTTGTTGGCCTGGATACGTCTAAGGCTGTATACGGGACTATTCCAAAGCATTTTTTGATCATTTTCCATGACGCCCTCTACATATTCCAGGTCGTACCATGGATGGACCTCTGTGTCAAAACACTAGCATGGAGATGATGGTAATGAAATGATCGAACCATTCCATCATGTCGCTTAAGACAGTGTGTTTGTGCCAAAGCTGGGCATCCACTGACAATGTGTTGGGTAGTCTCATTACATTCATTACATAATCTACATTTCACATTTACATTTTGATGCAAAATCACACATTGACGGTTTCGAACAGCAAGCGTAAAGCCTTCTGTTTCCCTTTTCAGGCCAGCCGACCTCATCCAAGTGAAGGACTCTGCAGGGTTGCCGAATTTCTCAACAAACTGCACATAAACTCGGTGCAGTGGTCTTTCAGATAGCCTCTCCTTGAAAAACTATGTCTGGGCCGATTTGATATTGCACTTCGCTTGGTTGGGACTTCTCCCAGGAAGCGCTGCCTAGTCAAACCCACCCAGAAGACTCCCCAAAACTGCAGCCTTCTGCATTACCCAGATTGTCAGAAGGGCTGTATTCCTGGAGGCAGACCCAGGTACTCTAACAATGTCAGTCAACAGATTGGGAGGTACCAAACCTAAGGCACCAAGAACAATGAGGGGTCGGACAACTTGGTACTTGGGATGCAAGGTGACAATTTGAAAGCGAGATCCGCATATTTGCCATGATTTTTGGTTTGTTTTTTATTATTATTATTATTATTATTATTATTATTATTATTATTATTATTATTATAATTATTATTATTAGTAGTAGTAGTAGTCGTAGTAGTAGTAGTAGTAGTAGTAGTAGTAGTAGTAGTAGTAGTAGTAGTAATAGTAGTAGTAGTAGTAGTAGTAGTATATAACACAGGTATCCAGGCACTAGTATCTGCTCAAATGTGGCTTTACTTGTTTTTACACCTACCTCACACATCGGGTACCCACCCCCTACCGGGTGAACAGAGGCACATTTGAACTAAGTCACTTGCCCAGTGTGACACCACACGTTCTGTTTCGGGTGTATGTACGTATTGATTGCACAGGGTGAAGGTATTGTACACTGGGGCCTGTTGACATCTTATGTTGAGTTAATTTTATTTCATTCTTTTCATGAAACTGATTGTTTGTGTGTATTAACCCAACAATAATTTCTAAAATAATTGCTGACTTTACTTGTCTTTCATAAAAAATAGCTGCCACATTGAAAGCGTCTGCATGTATCATTACACACGTTTATGAGCAGTGAGTAAATGGTATGCGGAAAAAAACTATTAGGCAAAGTTTTTCTGAATTTGTAGCTTCTGCCTATCTAAAAATAAGGAAAAGTGGAAGCAAAAATATTTCCTGAAAAGCACGTTTTATTTCCACTGAAGTTAAATATATGTGTTCATCACAAAACCAATTTGCGTACAAGATGACAACCTCCGACACTGAAGGGACAAACTTGCCTTACACTGCTCACATGCCAACATATTCAGAGAACCTTTTGGAGAACGAAAAACTGGAATGTGTTTTTTTATGTTTCCCGCCTGTTGACCAGGATTTTAAAAAGAATTAATATAGCCACAAGGCTCAGAAGTTGGCCTGTCCAATGAAGAAATAATTTCATAACACTTCGCCATTCTATTGGTACAAACATCCAACATGTCTTTCCATTGCCCTCATGTTCATGGTGCTGATCTGTTGTATGGAAGCCTTTGTCGTTTGCTTGCATATTCCTGTTTACCATTTTATTGTTACCTTATTTAACTAATGTTGCAAATGTTCCAGAAGAAATGTCGTGAGACACAGAGTCTCTTGGCCAAAACATATAATTTCATTTCTTATGAACAGCTCTACCCGTAGTGTTGAAACAAAAGACTTTCCATTTTGAATATTGACAAGGTGAAGCCTACTTTTTGAATAGGCACTAACTTGTCCCTCTACTGGTACATTATCTGTATAGGTTCGACTGGCCTGGTGACATGTAAGCTGTCTGTGGATTGCAACACTACTTGAAATTGATGAACTCATTCGTACCACATTATGCTATAAAACACATATAGCTGACCCCCATGAGGTCAACGTGTTCAGAGTTCACCACTTCACTCTGATACTATCTTTGAACAGGCCAGTGTCATGGCGTCTTCGTCTAATGTGAATGTCATGAAGTTATCCGTGTTTGTTTCCACAGCACCTAAATGTTTGTAGAAGTTGATACCGCTTGTGTTCCCTCGTTTGGCCATCCACTGCATATATCCGCAACCCCATGACAGGGCTAACTGCAAAACAACAGTGAAAACGGTGGCAGAGAGGATGAAACAGACAAATAGAGTCAGGCAGATAGGGTTAGATCACTGCATATATTTCATAGTAAACAGGTCACGCTAACACGACGACAGGAAACCAGCCTTGACCTATTTACGCGGCTGTGGTGGACAACTGTTAAAAGAGTCGCCAAATGCGGTTTTATTTGTTCCCCGGCAAGTGGATCAGTTTGCATTCCAGTTATCATTCTCAACTCCCCGGGGAGTGTACAACATGAGCTGCCTTCGAGCGCTAGAGGGTTTTTAGCATCCGCCTCACATGTCGGGTACAGAGGCACATTTGAACTAAAT